ACCAGAATGCTCTTTTTCTGTGGAGAAGGTTTTTAGATTCAAATTAGTTTGGCAGGTGTATGAACAGCTAACTAAAACCCTTTCTGAATTCAGCACATCATTTACTCGTAAGCATCATTAACTAATCGCTGATTAATATTTGCCACAGACAGACATCATTTGATGTCCCAGTCCCATGTACCATTTTACGGGCTGTGGATAGCTCTTATTGGAATGAGTAAAGAAATTGTAAACTGGGGGTTTTCTTTGTTTAATGCCTAAATGTGACGGCAGCAGTCTTAGGCATGGTAGCACCTAGGATTTTAAGGACTTGTTTCACCCAAAGGGGCGTCGTCTCGTGAAGGTTACATTCTTTTAAAGTTGGTTGTATAATAACTGAGTGAAGAAGAGTGGATTGAAGGTTTAGGGGATCTCTCCTTTGTAGGTCAACAGCTTGTGTGTTGCTCATGAGGAAAATGCGGTACTCGACATCTGGAAGAATCGTGTAAATGATGAAAGTGAAGGAAGGTGAGGTACAGGGGAAAAGAGAAAAGAACATCAATGGTGGGTTGGAGCTAGGGGAAAGAAGGGGTTAATGACTGGATGTTAATAAGATTTTAAGGTTGAGACGCAATAATTGGCGGATCGTGATAGAATAAAAGCGGCTATAAATTACATGGAAAACAAGTTAAATTTAAATAATTAAATATAGGAAATAAATTAATATGGAAATTTTAACATTTAAGTTTCATGTTTATAACTGAAAGGAAAGCAAATAGTATTGAAATGGAATCGATAGCTAAGGATGAATGAACTCGTGTGTTAGATTTGTAAACCTCTCACTCTGCACTTTGTTAGTTTTAAATGGTTGTATGAGTGTTCGGGTTTTTTAATTTTTTGAAAGATTAAATATTTAAATTTTTTTGGAGAGAATTTTGAAATCTTATGAAAATAAAGAAAAGAAGAAAAGGAAATTGGGAAGGTTAGAAGAGAAGGTGGGAAAAGAAGAATGAAGATAAGGAAAAATAGGAAATTAAATGAATAACAAACAATAAAAAAAGTGAGGTAAAATAATATAGTAGGTTAGGGAAATAAAGAAAATTGGTTAAAAATGAAATTAAGAAAATTAGATGGTTAATTGTTTGTAAAAAATGTGGATAAAAGTATTGTATATAATATTAATGTGTGTTATTTAAATGTGTGTGTAATGGTTTGTTTTAAATGTGGTGTATGAAATTTGTGTTGTGTGTGGTGTGTTGTTTTTTAAAATAAAAAATGGAGGGAATGGAAAATAATAAATATAATTAGTGAAAAGGGAAAAAAGGAAAGTAAAGAGAATTGGGAAAAAGAAATGATTTGTGATAAAATATAGAAATTAAGTTAAATGTTTAAGTAGGTATAAATGATTATAAAAATAAAATTTAAAGTATGAATTGGGATAGGAAAAAAAAAAGTAAGAAAATTGAATTTATTAATTTTGGATAAGAATTGATTAGTTTGGAAATTGGATATGAGTTTAATGAAATTAAATGGAAAAGATGTAAAAAAAAAGGTGAAAAAGAAAAATAAAAATAAAATAATATTATTATATTTTATTTAAATATAAAGGGAAAATAAGTTAATAAATAAAATAATATTTATGGAGAAAAAAAATGAAAAATAGAGAATGAAGAAAAAAAATAATAAGGAAAATTTTAGTGAAAATATAGGTATGTTAGTGGTAAAATGGAATTAAAAAATGAATGGGAATGAAAATATAGAAATGAAAGTTAAAGGATTACAGATTGGAATTAATTTAAAAGAAAGGAGATTATGTATTAATTACATGTATGTAGAATATGGAATGGAATTGAGGGAAATAGTTTAAGTAATGAAAAAAATTGGAAATATTAAATTGAAAAATATGGAAAATTATTACATGTATAATTATTTGTAATTAATTTTAAAAAAAGAGAAGGAAGAGGAATAAAATTTATGAATGGGAAAATAATGGGAAGTAATGAACAAATGATTTTAAAGAATGGAAAAAAATGTTAAATTCAATTTGAAAGGAGGAATTATACTTTTTATAAAATATTTTAATTGAAATATGAAAAAATCAAAAAAATAAAAAAGGTTGGAATAATAAAGGGGAAGAAGATGAAAAAATTTAAAAGAGATATGAACAAAAAAAAGAAGGGAAATGGAAATTTGTTTTTTGAGTTTATTTAAAAATAAATTGTTGTTAGAGAAAAAAGAAAGTTTTAATTTTAATATGAGAAATAGAGTATGTTATTTTTTATTTAGTTGGGAGTTAGAAGTTTTGAAAAAGTAAATGTGTTATTTTTTTTTAAAAATTATAATGTATGTATTGATTTAAAGAGTTGTTGTAAAATTATAAAAATATTTGTTTGAGATATTAATTGACAAAAGAATATGAAAGAAGGTTCACATGAAAAAATGTCTTAAAAGGTTGAGTTAATTAAAGTTAGGAAAAAAATGTTTAGGTTAGAGATGGTGGTTAAAAAATTTAGATTAAAGTTGATAAGGAAAGAATTGGGAAGTTATGGATTAAGAAGAAAGATTTTTTAAGTAGGTAACAAGAGAAATATGATAATTTAAAGTTTTTTGATAAAGGATTGATGGGGAAAATAAATGATTTTTGTTTGGGGTTTTTAAAAATAATGGGAAAAGTTTAACAAAGGAAAAATTTTTTTAGTGTTGGAGTTTGAAAAAAAAAATGGATTGGAAAAGATATAGAATGTAGAAGAATGTTCAATTTAATTAAGATATTAAATAAAAGAAGAAAATAAGAAAATGGGTTGAATAAAAGAAAGAAAAAAAAAATTTAAGAGAAAATAAAGAAATGGTATTATTTTTAAGAATATGAAAATGGTTATAATAAAAAAGAACATTGTTTTTGAAAAAGTTTTATGTGAATTTTTAATTTAAATGATTAGGTTGAGGATTAATAATGGTTAAGAATAAGAACGAGAAAGAAACAGAAAATTTAAATGTTTTTTTTTTTTTTTCGTATGAGATTAAGAATGAAAAATATTAAATTTATGAGAGTGGGTTTAGAAAGGAAATAAGTAATATGAAATAATAAAAAAGGTAATTGGTAAATAAGAAAAGATGGATTATATTAATTGTTTAAAAAATAAAAGATTACTGTTTATTTAAATTCGGAAGACTGTGAAAGAGAGAAAAAAAAAGTGAAAGATTGCAATAATTAAAATTTAAAAAATAAAATAAGAATAAATAATTAAAATTAATATAAAGAATGTAATTGAAAAAAAGTATTAATAATAAAAATGTTGAATTGTAAAATTGTCTGGAATTAATTATATATGTAAACAAGTTGGTGATTTGAAGGAAAGAGAATGGATAATATGTTAAGATAAAAAAAGTGATTTTCAAATTTAAAAAATTTATTATTTAAAGGTATATAAATGAAAAAATGATTGAATTATTTGGTATAATTTAAAGAACAAATAAATTATATGGTTAAAAAATGGAACTTAGAATATGAAGAAATAATAAAATGATTGGGTATGAAATTACTGTTAAATTTTGTTTTAATTTTTTTTAAAATAAGGTTGTTTTGAAAAATAATAAAGAATGGTAATAAAATATTATATAAATATAAAAGGAAATTGTTTAATTAATGTTAGTAATATAATATAAATATTTATATAAATAAGTTTTTGGTAAAAGAAAAGTGTGGATTGTAAAAGAAATATTGAGAATGAAAAGGTAGTTAATAATAATATTTTGTTTATTAATGAAATTTGATGTGGTATTTTGTTTTGGAAATTAATAATTTGGAAAGTTGAAAGTTGGATAAAATTGTTTAAGTTTAAATTGGTTTGTTTAAAGTTAAAATTGGGACAAAAAATAACAAGGAAGAGGAATTTAGAATAAGGAAAAAGAATGGAAGAGATTAAATTAAATAAAATAATTATGGAAGGGTTTTAGAAGGATTTTAAAATAAGGGGTAGGTTAAAAATGTAAAAGAAAAGAGATGTATGATTTAAAAAAAGAAAAATTTTAATTCTGTGTTTATTTTTTAAAAAATAGAATAAATATTTGAAATAAGTGAATGATATTTGGATAATATTTAAATATAAAATGAAAAAATGTGGTAAAAAATGTTTTTGTAATAAAAAAAGTCAAACAATGAGATGTGTATGAAAATAAAGTTGAAACACAAAAGGTTGTAAATTGAAAAGAAAAAAATAAAAATAGAAACTAAATGGTAGATAAGGAAAATGGAAAAACAATCATGCTGAAAGTGAATAGGTAAAAGTTAACAAGAATTAAAAAAGAAGGAAGTTTGAGTCAAAATTGGAATGGACAAAAAAATTGTTTTTGTGGGAACAAAAAAAATGATGGGATTGTTTTTTCTTTTTTTAATTTAGTAATGTTAAAATGGAAGTGGATAAATTTGAGAAATAATGAACTTGAAGAATAAAATTTAAGATTGATAATTAAGAAAATAAAATGGATTAATTTGTTTGTTTATATAGGTGGTTATATTAATTTGGGAATTGAAATATTTGAAAGAGAAATTTGAATTGAAAATTGTTTAAATTTTTGGTTTTAAATTGTATTTGTATAATAGAAGTAAGGAAGGAAGATAGAAATAATTAAAAGATTAAATTTAAAAATCATTTTGGAAATAAAAACAATGTGGTTTTAAATTTAAGGAAAAGGTAAGATTAAGAAAGAGTGAAATGAATTAAGAAAAATGAATTAGATGGAAGAAGACAATAGGTAATAATTATTGTATTAAAAAAAGAAATTTGGGGTTGAAAAGTTAATGTTTAAAAGTTCATGTGTAACATGATAGAGAAATGCTGAGTAAATTTTAGGCAAATTAAGAAAAAGTTTAATTCAAATTTTTAATAATATAGAAAGATATAAAAAGGGGTTAAAGGGAAATTGTGGGAAGAAGTAAATATTTTATTGGTAATGTTGGAAATATTAAAAAAATTAGTTTAAATGAGTTATGAAAGTTAAATTGAAATTGTGAATTGAGAAAGGTTTTAAGTTAGAATTGGGGAAAATAAAAATGCAATCAGAATTTGAAAAATATAAAATATAAAAAGAAAAGGATCTGGGTTAAATATTGGTAATGAAGTGTTTGAGATGAATTGAAATTTATTGGGAAAAAGTTTTGTGCTGGATGGGAAAAAAAAGAAAATTGATAAAAAGTTTAGGAAATAAGGTTTTATTAGTTAAAGGGGTGAATGATCCAGAACTATTTTGATAATTGGTATAGGTGGATTTTAGATGTATTTGAAGTGGATTGGGGGTGGGAAAAGTAATGACTGGGCCAACACAACATTAATAAGCTAAGACTTAAATTCATAAAGCGCCCCTGTCCCGAGACTGTTGGAGACCTGACCCAACTCGTACAATCCGATTTTTCATTCTTAATCACAAAATTGATCAACTTTAATACATTTTAATTATTACTTCAAGTTGGTGTCAGTACTGAATTCCCTATGAACAGCAAACTTTGAATAAGTTGACCCAATAAAACCCTGCCCTGTTCACTATAACGGTGATATCAGATTTGGAAATCCAAACTTATCAAAGCTTGAGACTCACAGGCGGCTTGAGTGTACCAGACCTCACTGTTTCAGGCAGTTTTTGCTCTCCATGTGTTTTTCTGAATTGAAAGTCCCAATGAAGGCTTAAATAATCCAACAATGTTCCTCTTCCCTTGTTGTTTTTCGGTGTTGTGTCTAAGGTTCCCATTGTCTTTGCAGAAGTAAGTTAAGCCTGTCTCACTTTGTTCTGAATTAAATGACCTGCAATAATAATAAGTACAACAAGTTACTACATAAAATCCTAATGTAATGTAATGCTGTTATGTTAACCCTTCTTAGTCTTCCAATCACTCAAGAGCCGCTTTTACCACATTCCATGTTCCAACTAATGAAATCTATAATTAGTGGGAAAGGCTTTTCAGAACTTTTCAGAAGCGTATGTAATTTAAGTATGTGCTTTAATTGCACTTGTGTAAACCGGGTTAACGTTCCCCTGTAAACTTGGAAGTGTACTGGTTGTACGGTTTGGTTCTATAAAGTTTGTTTACAGCCTTATCAAGGTTTTTAATATTATTGCCCCTCGGTTTGTTTTAACAATACTCTGGGGTAATGCAGTGTTTGAGATGCCTTGCTCTGGATCAGTGTGCTGGATGGGCAGACTGATCCAGTTTAGAGCAATAAGTTTTATTAGGTAAATGGTGAATGATCAGCTCTGCTCTTTGTCTAGGTGGATTTAGCTGTAATTGAAGTGGGGATTGGTGGAGCGTATGACTGCACCAACATTATAAGGTAAGACTCATTCATAAAGCTGCTGTCGAGACTGTTGAGACTGACTCACTCAGTACAATTCGATTTTTTCATTCTTAATCACAAATGTGATTCAGACTTGTAATCCATTTTTTATTAAATTACTTCAGTTAGGTTGTGCAGTACTGATGTCACCTTGATACAGGCACAACTTGATAAAGTTTTGGACCCAATAAAAGACTGCTGTAGTGCCACTATAACAGGTGATTGATTCAGATTTGATCAAACTTTATCATAGAGCTGAGAACACTCACAGGCGGCTGAGTGTACAGAACCCTCACTGTTGCAGGCAGTTTTGCTCTCCATGTGTTTTCTGATTGAGAGTCAGATGAAGGCTAAATAAATCCACATGTTCCCCTCTCTGTGTTCTGGTGTGTGTCTAATGTCCATGTCTTTTGGCAAGAAGTATAAGTTTTAAGGCTGTAACTTCACTTTTGTCCTGAATTAAAATGAACCTGCAATAATAATAAGTACAACAGTACTACAATAAAATCCTAATGGTAATGGTAATGGACCTGTACTTGTATAGCGCCTTTCTAGTCTTCCAATCACTCAAAAGCGCTTTTACACACATGCCATGTTTCAACTATGATCATAATTAGTGGGAAAGGCTTTTTCAGAACTTTTCAGAAGCGTATTGCCTTAATTAAGGTAATATGTGCCTTTTTTAAATTGCACTTGTGTAAACCAGGTTACTGTTCCTCTGTACTTGAAGTGTACTGTTGTACTGTTGTTCTATAAAGTTTTGTTTACAGCCTTATCAGTATTTTAATATTATGCCGCTGTGGTTTGTTTGTCAACAGGAAGCCGTGGGTGTGTGGTATCTCCTCTCTGGGCATAGATCACACTCAGATCCTTGGAGACACCATTGAAAAGATCGCCTGGCAAAAAGGGGGCATCTTCAAGGTATGTTGGCTGTACACATCAGTAACATGGCATTGTGATTGGACTAAATATCACAAGTAATAAGACCATTTATTAAAAAAAAAAAAAAANNACGTGTTATGTTATTGTTATCGCTATGTGTGTTAATATGTATATATGCTAGTAAGTCAGTGAAGTGTGTTTCAGGGCTGTAAATGGAATGGTAAATGGACCTGTACTTGTATAGCCGACCACTCAAAGCGCTACGTGCCACATTCACCCTTTCACACACATTCATACACATTCACACACCGATGCACAGCATCAGGAGCAATTTGGGGTTCAGTATCTAGCTCATGATACTTCGACATGTGGCAGGAGGAGCCAGGGATCAAACAAACAACCTTCCGATTAGTGGACAACCCGCTCTTCCTCTGAGCCACAGCCGCCCATTGTTGTCATAGAGATGGACATGTTAAATTTTGGATTGATTTTGAATTTATCCACTGATAAAGATTGTGTGTTTGAAAGCACTGGAAAAGGGGGAGTTATTTGTTTTTTGTTATTTTCAAGGTGAATAATTACTTCTTACATGGGAGTCCTTTCAAATAAAACTATTTATGAATTAGATTTTGACTAACTGGTTGTACAGTATTTGCTTCTCCACTGCTCTGCCATCTCACAGCTGTATGTTTTCAGCCAGGGGTTCCTGCCTTCACAGTCAAACAGCCAAAAGATGCGATGGTTGTGCTCAGGGACAGAGCCAAAGAGATAAAGGTAAGTAACCACTCAGACTGATGCAGTGTGTTTAAGTCAGATATTGCTCAGTGAAATGTAAAGTCTTGTTGAAATCTCACTTTGATGTAACACAGTCTGACCTGTTGTTGCAGTGTCCTCTGTGGGCGTGTCCAGAGCTGGAGGACTACCAGACAGACTGTGGACCTTTGCACCTGGGCCTGGCAGGACAGCACCAGCGCTCCAATGCGTCCCTGGCCCTCCAGCTGAGTCACACTTGGCTGCAGAGAAGATGTCTACCAGGTGGGACGGGAATTTCTGAAAATTTGAACTGTGTGTCAGTGGCAAGAAGGAAATCATAAATCCACAAGTGAAAGAGAGAGACTATCGTGGCACTTACTAGCTACAAACATCATCATCATATGCCTTAACTGCATTTGAACCTGCTAATACGTTATTGTGAGATCAAGTCTGAACTTTTTCTTTCTTGGCAGCAGCTCCATTTGCAGCATCACAGAAAAGAAAAGACAAGAAACAAAGATACATTCAAGAGATAAAGTGTAGCATCAGCGCTCCAAAAAAAAAAAAAAAAGCATTATATTAAAAATCTCATACAGACTTACAACTTGTGCACAACAAAGTAAGACGCCTCCCACACACTGGGCTCTCCAATGAACAAATGTATTCACAAAATGATCATACGCCAGCCGGCTTACTCTCAGTGAAGGAGGAGCGACAGCATGTTTTAGGTTTTAAAATGACCACAAATCACAAAACTAACTGTGATGGAAGCGGAGAAGAATGGTAGTTAACCGAGGGCGGCACGCTGGGCAGTGGCTGCTCCAACGCTCTCTGCTCCAGTGTCAGTGAAGTCGGCTAAACCACTTTTGAACCAGACGGTGGTCCAACCTCTACTACCTTCCTCTGTGATTGACTCTGGGGCTGAAAGCGCTGTCGCAGCCTGGCAGCAGAGACGCTCTGTGGTGAGCTGGGATTTTATAACTGAGACAAGACGCACTCTTTACTTTCTCTGACTGTTGTTTTCACATCACAGATGATGAAGAAAGGCAATACAAATGTGATGTTACCCTAACCATAAAACATGAGACTTTACACCACAGGAACCACTGATATAGAAGTTCTAAATGGGCAAAAAAAAACAACTTTGGTGGTCAGGAATGCTATGTATTCCATGTCTGAAAAGGTTTTAATGCTGTCTTCTCTCTCAACAGATAAAAGCTTTCCCTCCACCAGTGTTGAGAATGCAGGTGTTCTTCAGGGGACTTTATTCAAGCCCAGCCCCATGAAGACAATCAAACAGTGATTTAAACCGCTTTTTCTCGTAGCGGCCAGTAGGGGGCCGGATCCACTAGTTGCAGAAAACGACACTTCAACAATGAGAACAATTTGAAGCCGACTTCTGAATTTATAATAGCTCAGTAAAACGAGTTTCCCTGATGAGTTTCTGGTCTCGAGTCTCTAGGTTTCAGTCTTTTCCATTTCAGCGATGATGTTGACTTTAGTTAATGTGGCCCATGTAGAATGTAAAATCAGACGGTATAATTTAGGGCGGGGCTACCTTGATTGACAGGTTGCTAGCTCATCGATCAGATCATCCCTCACTCCTCCGCAGCTCCACCCTCTTGTCCAAATATGGTTACTTCTGGCTCCAAACCAAAAAACCAAAGTGCTTCAAAGCAGTACACCACAAACAAGTGTGTGACATGACGGTGGCTACGTCTTCTTCTTTTATATAGTCTGTGAATTCAACACGTTGACATGTGACCATTGGAATTAAGAGTTGGGACTGAAGAGTGGCAGTCAGTGAAGGACATTTGGACTTGTGCAAAACATCTGCAACATGAGCAGCTATGAAAGTAAAAGAGCAAAGTATACCCCTCCTAAAAAGTAGATAACAAAGACTCAATTATGAACAAATGTCCTGTTTCTGTTGCACCAAACGATATGACAAATACACAGTAAAGCTCATGTCAGAGAGCTTGTTACTGGTGGTTGCAATAATTCAAATTCAAGATTCAGCAATGTGACATCATCATCCATCCATCATCCACAAGTCTGTCTG